ACTACTTACAGCAATCAACACACATTTAAAAAGAGGAGAAAACCATTCTCAACACGTTAACACACCCCTACAATAATTACAATAAGGACAACAGCACAAAAGCACCAACAACAGAAGAAAGTAAATAATAAAAATTAGAGCACAAATAAAAGAACTGGAAAACGGAAAAACAATGGAAAATATCAACAAGACAAGAATTTGTTCTTTTGAAATGATAAATAAAGTCAACAAACCACTAGAAACTTAACAAAGGGCAAGGTAGAGAAGATGCAAATATCTAGAATTAGAAATGTAATAACAACAGATCAAAATGAAATCAAAAGAATATTTTTTAAACACAGTTACTGAACATATTCCAACAAATTTGGTCATCTGTAGGGCTGGTACAAATACTTAGAAATCCATTCTCTACCCAAATTAGCACCGATGGGCTTAGCAATCTTGCACAGACCCACAACAAAACAAACAATAGACCAAGTCAACAATGTGGGTATTTGACCAAGACTATTCCTGAGCAAATTCCTGAAGTGACAGGTTGACATCTTCATTTTTCATATAAGGTGTGCGATGTAATAAATTAAAGTATAAACTGTACAAAGAGCAACCAGACCTTTAAGGATTAGCTCATCCTCTGCCTACTCATATAAAAATTAAGAAGGCATGTTCTGGAAGGGATACCAAAAATGTAGATGGACAACTTACAGAGATTAGTCATTTACAAAAGCTGCAAATTTATAGTAAAAGAAGGAAATAGAAATAGCAGTGGTTCTCAAACTGTGGGTCATGACCCCTTTAGGGGTCAAACGACCCTTTCACAGGGGTCACCTAAGACCCTTAGAAAACACATTGCGATTTACATTACAATTCATAACAGTAAGCAAAATGACAGTGATGAAGTAGCAACGGAAATAATGTTATGGTTGGGGGTCACCACAACATGAGGAACTGTATGAAAGGACTGTGGCATTAGGAAGGTTGAGAACCACTGAATATAGGATGGAACAAAGACATGGTGCTTGAAATGTGGGATTTCAAGGACAGAATACAGGTTTATAGTGCTGCTCAGCGCTGAGATAATAATGGTTGATCTTATGAGAAGTTTAGAAGTCGGCAGAAGTTTAGAAGTCAGTCACCATGGGTCTAGGAATCCGAATCACCATTTTTTTAGTTTTTAAAGTATAAGAACATAGTCAAGATTTTAATGAGTAGGTCTGACTTTGATGTTTCAGGGTGATGACACTGTCATGGTGTTCCACTGAAGACTGCTGCAAAGAACCCAGGACGATGAGCTCTTCCCTAGAGTCTAGATCTAGATGCTTGGACCTGTAGTAAAGGTACGGAGGTGAGGTCCACCATCCATTTCAACCAAATATCAGATTTCAAATCTTTGAATATAGTGGATTTTTTCTACAAGGTTTTATAATTGCTTGGTACCCATAGCTTCTTTTGCCCCTCTAATTTCTCTTTTGGATCAAAGTATCTACCTTATGCATGCTGCATCATTGTACTTGGCAATCAGAAAAGTCGTATTTTAGTTTTCCAGAGTATAGCAGAGTGAACTATAACAAAAGTTTGATCCATATCTTATTTAGAGGATTTTGAAAATGAGATTTTAGACAACACAAATATGACGTTTGGGGCTGTGACTTAAGGGTTATGCCTTTTAGGGATGTGATGTTAGAATGAATATATTTTGCATATGGACATTATGTGAATTTGCAGGTATAAAGGATGGAGTTTTATGGATTGAATTGTGTTCCCCTGAAGTATGTTGACTTTCTATCCTCTGTACTGATAAATATGTATCCAGTTTTATCTTGAAATATTTATTTAACTAAAATGCAGTGTTTAGTTTGCTTGCTCAGAACTATTCCTAATCAATTAGTTCCATGTGTATAACATTGCTTACAGATGAAATAATTTTATCTCAGGAACTAATCACAACAATAATTATTAGGGTGAAAATAGTTTTCACTTGCTGAAAGCATAACATGCATTCAATATCTCAAATGTATTGCAATTATAGAACTAACAACACTTTGACATACATACAATTTGCCAAGCATAAAGCAATGTTTTTTTAAAATAGTATAAAAATTAACCTTTCTCAGAAGTATGCCAGAAAACAGTAGATATTCCTATAATCATGCACTAGAATTGGTGACCAAAATGCAGCCAGCAGAGAAAAAAACACCATTTACATTTTTAAGAATATATATATAGGCAGCCATTCAGAATTATACAGCAGAAAATTATAACTCAGTAGAATTATTTTATAGCAATGTTTCTTTACAAAATATAGATAAAAATCTTGTTTAAGCAGTCCTAATTTATCTCTGAACTGGTGAATAAAAATTACTTTTCCTTGTACAGTAAAAAGTTTCATGTGTTTACATCTGATATAAGAACTTTAAAGATGTATTTTTGAAAGCATATTATTATGTGTTGACTTTTATCAGTGAGATAGATACCCCCTGATAAAAGATACTAATAAAATGGATCTGGAAAATGCAAATCTACTCTATTTTAGCAAGCTGGTCTGGAATTGGATGCAGCGACAGAAAATCATTAACTTCCTGTTGATAAAACATGTAGCATTCATTTCACTAACAGGGAATTCTTGAGGTATCATCAGCTTTTCATTCTACGTTATGAATGAATAACCATACATTCTAATCCTGCCAGGTCTTTATAAAGCAATCTCTTTCATAAAGTCTCATTAGCTACCAAATCTGTATGTGGTATTCTCTCATGTGTCCCCTTCTGACATTATATTGTACCATGTTTATCAAAATATATTTTATATTGTAGTTCTTTTTAGCAGTAATGGTAATTTATATAATTATAATTTTACCAGCATATATGATAGTGTGTTGTTTGATACACATATTGCTTATTGTATAGCTATTACTTAATATTGTCTTCAAATATTTCATGTTCAGAGATTATTTCATATAAAGGAAACTTATCAGTATTTGTATTCACGCACAAAGTTGGAAAGGAGTTGAATTTTATTCTATGAATAAATACATGAATAAAATTTACTTGTAAATACTTTCTAAAGGAGCAATAACAGAGTATGTCTATAGACAAATTTGGACCTATTAAATGTTTCTTGTTTTCCCTCTGATATATAGATATAGCTCAGATTTACAAAAGTGGCTAAGACTTTCATCTAAAATAAGCATTGGCTTCTTCCTTGCTTAAAAACCAAATGAAAAATGGCTAAGCTATATGCCTGGAAGACAGAAAATGCCAGATATGGGTTGCATTAAAATTTAAATACTAGTACACATGAACCATAATAACCAGTTAATGAAAATTGCTCATCAATCAGATATTAAGAAATGCAAATCAATAGAAATAAAATAGAATACCATGATAAAAATCATTTAAAAATACCTCAGGCATGTCCCAGACTCAGAACGAACACGTACTTCACTCAGATTCCTACCTATTCATCTGCAAGCAGGCATAAGAATCCATTTTCAGAAGGATGACCCTGAAGCACTCTATCCTACTATGAAATATCTTATCATTTTCATTTCAGTGTGCTTATTGAAGCAAGAAGATGGAATCATTTATTTTAGATTTACCACCACAGGAGTTGGCTTAAATGGTATTTCTCCCCCAAATTCAGTAGAATTTCCTCTAAATCAGTGCTTATTAGCTTTCCAAAATCATTATTATCTGTTCTTGCAGTCATGGACTCTGAGATTTTAGACCTTGTTCCTTGGAAAATACAAATATATCTATTTTTTAAATTTCAGAATGGTAAGAGATTCATTGATATTGATCTTTATATTATTCAGGATCTCTTAGCATTCCAATTCTAGAAAGTACAAAATAGGGGAAATCAGCCTCCATTTTCAAATCTGGAGTTAGAGAATGTGTTTCCACTATTTGGTGCTAAGAACAGACTTAAAGTTCACCTTACTTTATTTTCTGTCACAGCTCCTGTTCTGGTTTTGTGGAGACTGTGCATTATCACATTGTAGGAAAGACAGATTTCTAACTATGACCAGTCTGTACCTTGTTGAGACTATATATTGTTCTAAAGTTAGGGTCATACTGTAAAGAACATCAAGATTTTTACTGTCATATTCAGAGTACTATAGGATTTTGATACCAAGGCATTTGTATAGTCTTTGCCTAACCCTGAAATCAAGGTGGAAACTACTTGGAATAACGTAACTCATCTGTTGCAAAAATCTCACTTGAAAAGGATCTGGGGATCGGTAAAGACTGAAAAGATTGATTCAAAATAAACCATAAAGCCATAATTAGTTGGACTAAATAAGGAAGCTTTATCATTGCCAAATCATGGTTTAATGGCTATAATTAACTAATTGCATGTATAAGTAATATAAAACAAAATGTGAAAACGGAAAAGTGATGGTGATATTGTGAAAATAGCTACTTAAAAGAGAAAGAATCAAGAGTAAATTCCATAGAATATTTCAAAGGGTCCTTATGTTAGAAAGATTACAATGCAAGTGCTAATGGCTGACTTATGTACTCAGATGTCTCTTATGCCAAAATTATCCTAAATTTACTCTAGATTGGTTCAAACTTAAACTAAGTTGCAGTTGATTCCTAGAGAGCTTTCTTTCCCAAGGAATGCAATACTATTAGGCGACAAGTAAACACATAAATACACAAATAAATACACAAATAGTAATTTTAGTTCTAGTAAACATAATTGTAAATGAAAAAGTGTTAGAGATGTTTGGGCTAATAACACAAATCATATCTTTATGTATATGGATTTGCATAACTGAAATCCAGTTTACATATGATCAATCCTCAGGGCTCCAGCCCAGGACCAGTGGTGAGAAGGGTGCAGGGAGGCAATGCTTTGTTGTGCTGTGCATGGGTTGCTATGGATGGGAACAGATGGAATGACCCTAGCAAAACCAATACTCCAAATGTGTGGCCAATGTGTGTGGTTCTGTGTGATCTTAAAGTTGTATACATTTTACCTGAAATACAAACCTTACCTCATTCTGGAGATCTCGGATCATTTTGCTCTTTCTCTCCACTTCAGTCTTTAAAAAATTAATCTGAAAATAAATAGAAAATTATGTAGATGCATCGAAAAATGAATTCCTATGTCTCTCATAAATTTATTTTCACGATTCTTCAGGATATGAAAAAACTAATACCTATTTATTCATAAATATGAAACGGAAACAAAACAATAAAGTTCACAATTTTCATTCATTAAAACATCCATAACTCAATTCATTCACATGATGGGCTTCAAAATGATTGTGAAAAAAACAAAGGTACAGAAAGATAATGGACTTACTATGCAAACTTTTTGAAGTTCTTATATTCACTGATTACCTAAAATTACCCATCCTCATGTAATTAAAGATGGATTTATTTTCAACTAGGAAGCTGAATCTGCACAATCTGACTCTGATTTTCTTACCAGATAAAGATTTAATTTTAAAATGTGGTTCTTTTTGTACCTATACTGCAGGGTTGGACAAAGGACTCCGTTTCTCTAAAACATCAGAAAATTTTGACCTCTGACTAGATTTAAAAGTAATTGCAGAGTGATTTTCCTTGCCACAAAGAATAGTATCAGTATTGGACCAAAGAAACCATGATGCCTCCTCCTATGTATGATGTTTTGGGGAAGTGAATCCCATTTTTTCAAGGTTGTCCATTGTTTATGATGCACACAGTGCATAGTGCCTCTATGCACCACAAAATTAAACACCTTCCACTCCTAATCCATCCTCAAAATTGCTGCTATATTTGAGCCCATTTTTTGCAGCCACTCTGTCAATCTATTTCTTGAGGGTTTCCCTCTTTTTGGCTAACCCTCTATTGAATCAAAAATGAAGTCCTTATCTCACTCTTTCCAGACATGTACAAAGTTCAAGAGATAAAAGTTCCACCATTTTCACATCTAAGGAACATTTTGACTCGATTTCCTCCAAAACCAATGGATTTCTTCTTCTGTCACTCAGCATTAATCACCAACCATTTTCCTTTTTCATTGTCCAATTTCCACACTTAGGAGGTAATTGAAAATATCACATCCTGTGTCAGGTGCACCTTAATCTTCAAATTGACATATTTTGCCTTTAACATTTTAAATAAATCTTGTGAAGCAACATATCATATCATTTCATTTCTTGACTGATGTTCCCATGAGCATTGATTGTGAATCTAATTAAATTCTTGAAAACTTTAATATTTTCTCCACTTATACTGATGCTGTGTACTTCTTTGTGTAGAGACTTAAATTTTCTTTAGATTGAATTCCAACTCATATGGAAGAATTGCTATCTGTGATCTTAATCCATTACTGTCTCAAGTCTTCTGATGGGGCAAAAAATAACCATTTTTGAGGTATAAAAGCTTCATGACTTTTGACTCTTGGGTTTGATTCTCCATAAGTTTTCATTTGAAACCTGTTTTCATTTGGAACATCTGTTAACATCTTCATGTTTTTTTTTTGTTATGATGAGAGTGAAAAATCTAACTAAAAAGATTAAATCAGAAGGAACAACTTGTGCTAATGATCACACCCATTGTTTTTGCTATATTAAATTTCAGGACAAATTTAAATTACGCAAAAAAATACTAACCAAATAAAAAAATCAAACCTACTATCATTGAGTTGATTCATACTTATGGCAGTGTTATAGAACAAAGTGGAAATTCTCCCTATAGTGTCTAAGACTGAACTCTTTACAGGAATAGGCAGTCATCTTTATCCTCCAAGTCAGTTGTTATATTTGAACCACTGACCTTGTCGTTAGATTATGGTGAGAGCAGAAGGGTTTTAGGGTCCATGTTGCTCCTGCTGCTCACATGGGTGGAACAACAGGCTGATTCCTTTACACTTTTAGCTCTAGTTGTGGCAGCAGCAGCAGCAAGAGGACAAGAAGTGTATTTCCATAAAACATTGCACATGTCAAAATGACACAAGACTTCATTCATAAAATGTCTTGTGGATGCTTACTTACACATACCCATATACATATCTTCACTCATTTCTACCCAATCACTTTTGGAACAAGAAGAAAAATAATTATATTTTTACAAAATGCTCATTAAATAATTAATTAATGACATCTTTCTTCTAGTAATAACCTGTTATCCATAGAATCCATTATGATCCCTGAATCCTCACACTTTAGTAGTGTTGAGATCCTTAATTAAACACTAACTGTAATTAAAAGCATAATGAAAATATATTGTGATGTCAAGGGTATAATTCTTTAAATGCTAAATAAAGGGCAGAAATACTATGAAAATGTAATATGTAAAAAAATGTAATATGTAAATATTCAGTACATAGAAATTATTCATTTTATAACTAAAGTATTTGTTTTTTGAGAACATTGGCATAAAAATAAAGCAGTATTTAACAATTCTGGAAAAATAAGCATCCCTCGCAAATGACTGTGAAATATTTTAAGATAGAGAAAATATCATTTAAATAAAAAATAAAAGAACAACAATACGTTATCCTTAATGAGTCAAACATTGGCACCTATTTTTAACTTGAATTATGTTTCCCTTATTATTAGGTGCCTTCAACTCATTTCTGACTCATAGCGACCCTAGACAGCAGTGGTTCTCAACCTGTGGGTGGCGACCCTTTTGGGGGCTGAACGACCCTTTCCCAGGGCTCGCCTGAGACCATCAGAAAACACCTATTTCTGATGGTCTTAGGAACTGAGACACCGCTCCTCTATCCGTCTCCGGGCGGGTCTGCCCGCATGCACATATGCCCACATAGGTGTACCTGGCATGAAGACTGTTACCCATGCTACACCATGCTTCAAAACAAATTTCATTTATTTGTAAGTAGAAATAAATATTTCACAATATATAATTACATATTGCTTTTGTGATGAATCACTATGCTTTAATTATGTTGAATTTGTAACAATGAAAATACATCCTGCCTATCAGATATTTACATGATTCATAACAGTAGCAAAATGACAGTTATGAAGTAGCAATGAAAATAATTTTATAATTTGGGGGTCACCACAACAGGAGGAACTGTATTAAAGGGTCACAACATTAGGAAGGTTGAGAACCACTGCTCTCAACAGTGCCCAGTCTTAAGCCATGTGGAGCCATCTTTGTTATAGTTGAGGTTATTGTTGCAGCAATGGTTCATCTATCTCATTAAGGGTCTTCCTCTATATTTTCTGACCCTCTACCAAGCTTGACGATTCCCTCTCCCATCCCAGGCCACCCCCAGGGACACGTCTCTCTTGACAACATGTCCAAAGTACAGGAAACAAAGTGACACCATCCTCACTTCTAAGGATCGTGAGGACTGTACTTCTTCCAAAACAGATTTTTTTTTTCTGATAGTCCATGGTACATTCAATATTTTGGGGCCAATCATAATTCATATGTATTATTTCTTTTTCAGTTTTCTTTATTCATTTCCCAAACTTCACATGCATATAAGAAATACTGTGAATTAGATCAGGCACATTTTACTTCTCAAATTATCATCCTTGTCCTTCAACGTTGTAAAGAAGTCACTTTATGCTGCAGATTTTCCCAAGGCACTATGTCATTTGATTTCTTTCTGCTTCCATGAGCAATGCTTATAGATTCAAGTTAATTCTATCTTTGACAGTAGTGATTTTTCTCCTTTTAGCATAATGTTGTCTATTGTCCAGTTGTGAGCATTTTGATTTTCTTTACATACATTTGCAATTCATACTGAAGGATTTAGTTTTTGATTGCCATTACCTAGTATTCAAGTGGAGCCCTGGTGGTTGTGCATTGGGTACTAATCTCAAGTTTAATGGGTTCGAAATCACCAGCCACTGGAAGTAAAATGAGCTTTGAAGAGTTACAGTCTCAGAAATCCAGAGGAGCAGGTCTACCCAGTCCTATAGAACTGCAATAAGTCAGAATCGGCTGGATAGTGGGGGTGTTTGGGTCCGTTCAGAATGCTTCCAGTCTTCTTTGCCTTTGACAAGCATATAGACGGTGACTGATACGCCTTCCTTCCGTCCTGAAGTCACATTCTTCTTCATATAGCTCCGATTCTGGGATTATTTGTTCAGTATACATATAGAATAAGTATGGTGAAAGGATACAATTTTGATACTTATCTCTCTTGAGTTACCCATGTAATATACCTATGTTCTGCTTGAGCAGCAGTCTCTTTATCCATGCATAATTTCTATATAAGCACAATGACTGGATTCCAGATTCTGATTCCCAGTGTTATCCCTAGTTTATTTTAATCCATACAGGCAAATGCCCTTATCAAGTCAACAAAACTCAAATAAGCAACTTTTTGGCATTCTTTCTTTCAGCCAAGATCCATCTGGTATCAGCAGACATATTTCTCATGTCACGTCCTCTCCTGAATCTAATGCAATTTTTTCACTTAAAGAATATTAGGCAATAAAATTTAGAAAAGTGAAATCCACATACTGAGTATTAACAAATTTAATTTCTATGGATACAACTGAGAGAACCTGCTTCCTTCCTCTGTTAGTGTGTTTATGAGGAAGACAAGTTTGAAAGATGTGCACTCCACAATTTTCTGAGGAAGAGAAACAAATATTCTAATAAAATTAAAGTTTATTTCCCAACATACCTAGGAAAACACTGTTTTATCCATATATTACATTTTCAAAGATTTATATTTTAGTATTTTGGAATATACTAAGAAATTCATATTCATGTTTCACAGCATTTTACTATGAGCTCACTGAAAACCATGTGCATATACAACGTAATTAGCATAAACATAAACTTTATTACTAAGGGAAAAAAGAAATATAAGTTAGATATATAATAAAGAGCTACACATTAACATTGTGTGGTCTTACATCTATACCAGTACAGTGTAGTAAAAAGTAAATCCAAATTATTTTTTTCTTTTTAAATAATTGCAATTACAGTTATTTGACTTTATCTTGATTAGCCAGCCTTCAATTACATCAACTATAGTCTGCGTAGCAGAGAGAGTAATTTTAGCATAATCTATAGCATAAAAAAGTTTAAATTATGCTTTTTCATTAATAGTTGCCTGGACATTTTTAAGAAA